TCAAATTCATAAATTTTATCCCTAGGCAGATTTTGCGAGTTTATTCAGGTGAGGTTAGTTTAACAAAAGTGGGATGTATTCACAATACCAGAGAAGTAGCCTTGCCATAACGATCAGCCTGTGATGAATTTTTGGTGTAAAAGTCTGCATAATACTGAATGAACGGTGGTAATTAGAATGTTTCTTAAATTGAAAAATAAGGTATCAATTCCCTGCCTATCAGTACTATGCAAAATAGCAAGTAAAATTTAGAATAAAATAGATAGATTTCTGCGAAAACTTAGCAAAATTCCAATTAAGAAGCCCAGCTAAAAAGAATGTCAAATTGACAACAAATATCGTTGCCAAATTGGCGACAATATTAAACGAACGAGAACTAAATTTAGATAAATGAGAGGAAAAAATATTAAGTACCTTCACATCTCGATGCATCTCTTTGAATATTCAATTTCTTCTCCGAGAGTTCAGTCAGTGATGTCGTCTTAATTCCAGAAACTGTAGATGCTCCTGGTAAAGGTTCCAAATCACTGATATGCTGAGTTCGAGCAAGAGTAGCTGAATCGAGTTCTAATGCGTTTAGAGTTGAAGAAGCTTCTGTCTCTTCTTTACAAGGAGGCTCGGGGTCTTTCGTCTTGCATTCAGAGGACTTGCACACGTCTTGTCGATTAAAAGGATGGCCAGCATCAGCCCAAATCTAAATAATCAGATAAGCACATGAAATAAATGTCAATAGTCAAGTAAAAATGGTTACCTTATCAGATACCGGTCAACTGGCCAGCAAATAGATATTAATAAGTAGATTGAATTAGACACAAATTCCGAATTAAGGAGCATCTACTAGGATTAAGTGGGAACAATAGTATCTTAAATAAATGCAAGGTTCAAAATGGCTGCAGAAGTAGATCATTAAAACGCATGTCGCAAACTTGTTATAAAAGCATTTCCCTCCTAAATACTCATGTATGGCGCCAAGTAGATGTATAGATGGAAATGGTAGTTCTTTTGGCGCATCATTAGCGGATACATTTGCAACCCAAAGAGAAGAAAAAGTTTCCATCAGTCATCAAATCAACAAAACTGATATCTCTACTATCCTCGAAAAAAAAACATTGTAAGTGAGCGGTTGTCGAAGACATCGAAGTACTGACGTTCTAAAATTCCTTTTATGTGCAAGCTAGAGCACGCCGATCAAATAGCGTCTCTGAATGCCTTAACAACTAGACAGCCGGATTACTCAACCAAAAAGGCATCTTAGGCACCCCAAATGCACAAGTTTTCATGCAAGTGCACTGAAGATGAGCCTTAGGGTCCGCTGTTTTTTTATTGAGGGAAAAAAGGAGTCGAGTGAAGACATAGTGAACCGTTGCAGAAGATTTAGAATAATAATGGATACCACCAAGTGTAATGTAGGCTAAGAGTTTGAGCGATAGGGGGCACATAGAGTGCTGAGAGTAAATAAAAGACGAGGTGATGTAGCCTTTTGTTTGACTGCAATAAACCATCTTGGTATAAGCTAAATTCAATTTCGATTTAGAAACTTAGTCATGCTTGTAGGGACATTCCATACTCCGTCGTCTGACACGTAGTCATGTGTTATTTCAGCATTGAAGAATAGTCCAGATAGGTCACCATACATTTTTGTCTGCATTTTAGTGAGCCTCATTAATAAAGTAGGCATGCTTAGCATTCGATCACAATTCATCAGTGGCAGGTAAGGTCGAGTTGGTTATATAGTCCAGCACCAAGATATTCTACTGAGCTTTGATCAAGGGACCAAGCCACATTTGATGAAGCGATTCTATTAAAAAGCATTATCGATGAAAGTTTTATCTTATCTCGATAAATAATCCTGCCTCCCTTCCTCGGTAATTTGTGTATCTTTTTCAAGATGGCCGGATGACAGCATAAGGATCCTGTTAGAGTGATCTAGCCTTCTATCTGGCTCCAAATATGTTTTTCCCTACACCATATTTTATAATACTCTAAAATAATTGACAAAATATCCTAGAGGATAATCATTCTCAAACAGAATTCTCCGCAGTCGTCTCAAAAACTAGTTCTGATTATTAATATTTGATGTATTCACCCTATTCCGTCTAAGGTGATGAAGGACTGGTAGTAGAATTTTT